TTTTTTTTTTTTTTTTTTTTTTGAGCAATACAAAATAGTTTATAAAAAAGTATATAAACTGCATCCTCTGTGTCTTGCAAAGCATTTGACACATGCATGTTATGGTAGCAAGGTAAGGCCCCAAGACACCAGTCTTGCATTTGGGTTCAGGCAGGTAGATCCTGAGCCTGTATGGAATCCATGGAAATCACTGAGGCTCCACATAGGTCAGAGGTCTGTCCTGGCAGCTCTGGCATCCAAACCAGACATTACTACAGGCAGGGTACCAAATTACTTTGGTGAGAGCCTACCGTATGCAGATGTAACTAAGGTGGAAATAAAAGGCTAAAGCATGGGTAACTTGGAACATAAGAATTAGCTTCCTTGTAGAAGTCTATTTCCTTGAAAGTACCACTGCATTTCTTTAAGTTAATCTTCCCTTTTCCCCCAACTTAAATTTTTTTTTAAAAGATACCCATGTTTTCTGCCTCTAGAGACCTTTCCAAGCCTCTAGAGACCTTTCCAAACAGCCATGCACCTGAAAGTTTGCTGTGAGTTTTGGCATTGTTGGCGGAGCAGTTACTTTAATGAAAAATGACAATTTTTTCTTATGATTAAAATATCAAACGGATCCATTGACTGTTAAGTCTAATTTGCTGTGACTGAAATGTTCTCCAGTGAGATAAGATAATCTCCTGTTATAGGGCAGAGAGCTCCAGCTGATTTACGAGAGAAAATCTTAGTAGAAAATACAGAACTGTGTGGTGCTGTTATTTTTCAGCCTTTCTATCATCACCTAGTTAGTCATTCTTTATAAGATTTCCATTTAGCAATCCATAAAGCAACTTCAAAGAAGACTGAAAGTTTATAAGCTGTTAGATAAGCAAGGCTTGGGCTATTACATGAATAATAGAGCTCACTTACGGTACTAATCAAATTCATATTAGATAAAGATAAGTATGTAGTACTGATAAATAGCAGTGAGATAAGAAAATGGAACCATCTCAAATTAATTTGTCCCATCTTCAGTCTTCCGATTTTGTTACTAACCCTATATTAAACGTTATTTGGGAATTAGTGATACGTTTGGTTGGCCCATGTGTTGTAAGTAATGCCCAGCTTAGCTGGCAGCCTCTGCACACTGTCATTGGACAGAATTGGTTTTAGTTGCCATTTGTGTAGCTGAGGTTATTAGTGTGGCGGTGCTGATGGAAGAGGAATACCCTTGACCTAGTGGAATACTTACTGGAATTGAAATGCATGCGGTTTCATTTAAAAACAGTTGGGGATAGTCCTTTGTGGCTGTCAGATTCTGAATGGTTGACAGTGCAATCTTCCATTCAAGGCTTTCCACAGTTACAGAAGTTATACAATAATGTATCTCTTAGTCATGCTTGGTTCAGGGCACAAAACTAATATTTGCTTAAAAAGAAAGCCAGTGACAGTATAAACAAAAAGACAATTCTGTACCTTTAAATTGTCATCACTAGACCGTCTTCATCTGAAGTAGAAGTAAGTTACATTGCCCAAATTCACGGACGTTTAGTTTGTATGCAAAATATTTCAGTTGAATTTATCAGCAAGGAAAAATCCACTATGTTCTTTTGCTGCCCCTAAGCAACATGGGCCATTACCAGCACTGCAAATCTTGCATCTGTTCAGTGAAGCAAATGGTTAGCTCCAGCCCAATGAAAATAGATGTGGTCATCATAGCATAACTTCTAGATTCACTAAAATTCATCTTAAATCTTTAATTTGGTGGAACACAGTAAGTGTGATTAAAGAATGTGTGTGGTGTAGTAGACCTTCCCTTATGTAACCAGATGTATCTGAGTAAACGAGAAC